CCACATCCCTCAAACCAATGTATACGATATCAGATGCTGAAAGGCAGGGCTTTATCCATGAAAAGCCAGGAAGCTGTGGTACCTGCAAGCAAAGGGTTGGTATTAGGTTAGTTTAATGACATACATAACAAAACTGTATTTAACGCTTCCCTCAAAACTTCGTATTTATTTATAGCATCCTTTCTTTGTCTAAACAGAGAAAACTCATCACTTGAGAGTTTGGCTCCCTGATTTAATCAGTCCTTACCTTTGTTGTAACTTTCAACTCCGGTAAAATGGTAATGAATGAAGTTTTTAACTCTTCTACATTTTCCAGTTTGAAGAGGAGAAATGAATGCCCAAATCCACAAGCAACAGGTAATTACATCAGGGAATGTAAGGAGGAATAAAAGAAACTCGATACCCAAATGCAGATCACTAACTTACACAGTGCATTTAATGGTAATGCTAGGTAACATACGTATGATGCACTGTGTCAGTGGAAGAATAAAAACCAAGGCACCTGTATCTTTTTAGGAGGATCACCAAAAAGTCATGCACACTTTGTTGCAAAAACAGCATTAAAGACGGACAAATTCCAAATGGGAAGTTAAAAAAAAAAGAGCATGATAAGAAGTTGGGCCTCCACACTGGGCTACATCACAGTTTTTTAATGTAGAAGTGAAGAGAGCAGGTCTAGGACAGCAAATAAAAGATGATGGGGTCATAATTTCTCAGCTTTGGTAATTAAGTAGTCATAGTATGCAATTATAAAAGTCCTTCAGTTAGTAATTTAAAGCACTCCTAAAATTAGTAGATATTAACTCAAATTTCTTTTCTTCTCCCAGCTCTGAAAATGGCTACAGCCAGCACAGCTGTCAAGCAGCAAGGCAGCTTTGTTTCCCTCTTATACTTCTCATTTACTAATTATATTCTAGTTACAACATTTGGATTTGTTTTTAAAGGCTAACACACCCATAGCTATATTTCATTACCTTGGTATTAAATAAGCAAGTACATACAATTAAAGTATTTATTTGTTATGCTGAGGCAATGACCTGAAACTCTCTTCTGCAGTCATGAATTCAGAAGAGGGATAAATGAACTGGAGACCACTAGGAAAAATAATTCAGTTCTTGGAAATGAAGGTGTATCTGCAAAACCCATCACCATACTGAGTATAGTATTGATACTATTGTTAGATATACTCTCTACTATGAATGATTTAGTAGATTTAATACTATACCATTTCTTACTATACCTCTTCCTCTTTAAATAAAGAAAATGGAATGCCTGAACTTCCTTTGGTAGGCTCTGTTTTTACTTTGTTGTAATAGAAAAGGAGTTCCTGATAGTAAAGCCAAACAGGCATCAGGAAAACGTGCAGGCATTTTCATGGTAAGCTATTAATAGCAGTTTATGACTTTAGTCTGAATGGTTCCAGAAGCCCTGACACTAATGCTTCATTTGAGGAATGCCAGTCAAAGGGTTACATTCATAAATATTTTCCCTTAAAACAACAAAATTAATTTTAAAAGTTTTTAAAAACCCGAAAGTGCCACCTTGCCTTGAGATGAGTACCAGGCAGCGCTCCTGTTAAGTTAACTGGACAAACAAGTAGCAGCGAATGGACTGTGCAAGCAATACCAGAGTTTGCTCTACAGCAGCCTGGCCAAATGCTTTATTTCATAGCCAGATGTATCACTTTTATACTTCATGTTGTCTGCTACATGGGGACATTTAATTCAGTAGAGCATTGACCAAGCTCACTACGCCTGGATAGATAAAGGATTCTGAAAACAGGTGAGGTAACACCTAAACTGAGGGACTTGAAAGAGGCCCCAGGAGTTCTTGGCAGTTGTGCTAATGTAATGTAAGCAGTTGCTGCCACATCAGTTCCCCCGTTATGTTGGCCAGGACAGCAGTTTGTAAGGCCATACAGCAAACGAGGACCAGGACTTGATGTGTCTCAAAAACTAACCAAGCAAAGAGACAGTGCTTCTGGCTCTGTTCTTGTGCAAT